CATTCCGTATGATTAATTTTTTCCGTATACATTTCGTATACATTAGTTTTTTTAAAAAATGTTCAAAAATGAATTGCTTATTAAATATACGGAATTTGTATACAGAATCTATAGAAACGTACATAAAATGTATACAAAACGTATCCTTTCCGTATACATATTTCTTATAGGGCAGGCCAGATTATTTTTCGACGAAATGGCTTTCGGCGAAATGTCCCGATACCGTTCTAAAATGTAGATCATTTCAAATATTGAACATTTTTATTTAAAAAAAGAAAGACTTACTCAACACATTATTTCGGTCTAACCAAAAATAACTTTGAAACCATAAGTACATAAATTTGTATCACACGAGGATGCGCCCTTACGTATAAATTTATTTATTTATATATCGTTACAAATAAGATTTTATTCAAAAAATTTTTTAGGTTGTTTAAATAATAATAATGTCCTTTGAAGAAATTGAAAGTAATAATTATTTAGAATACTTAAAAAAGAATTTTAAAAGCTGGACCAGTGGAAATGAACAAATTGATAATTTTGTCCAAGAAATGCAATTGAATAATATTAAAGGCCATCATGATATTATATTTGAGTGGATACCATATAATCAGTTTTATGAAATCAAAGAAACAAAAAAAAATGATTTTATTACAGTATATTCAGCAATATGGAAAGATGGCCCATTATGTAAGATTTTTTGGAGTGATAAACGTACAAGAAGTTCAAATAATAAAGAAGTTGCTTTAAAATGTTTGCATAACTCACGTAATCCAATTGAATCTCTAATAAATGAGGTATAGCATTTTTATATATAACTTAATGTAATGTTTCTTACTGTAATTTATCTATTTGATTTATTCATTAATCTTTTAGGTTAAAAGGTATTCAGTAAAAAAACTTGGTATTAAAATATATGGAATATCTCAGAATCCAGATACAAATGATTATATTCTAGTTCAATATAATTTCATTGTAAATTGTATGAGTGGCAATGAAAAAATTGATAATTTCATTCAAGAAATGCAATTGGAAACCAGTTATTCTAATATAGTATTTGAATGGATAACATATAACCAGTTTTATGAAATTAAAGAAACGGGATAAAATGGTTTTATGACAGTATATTCAGCAATATGGAAAGATGGCCCATTATGTAAGAATGTTTGGGATGGTAAATGTACAAGAAATTCAAATAATAAAGAAGTCGTCTTAAAATATTTGCATAATTCACATAGTCTAATTAAATCCCTAATAAATGAGGTATAGCACTTCTATATGTATATAACTTAATGTTTCTTATTGTAATTTATTTATTTTTATTTATTTAATCTTTTAGGTTAAAAGGTATTCAGTAAGAAAAGTTCCTTATGAATTTCTTAAAATATATGGAATATCTCAGAATCCAGATACAAATGATTATATTTTAATTCAAAATAATTCCATAAACCTTGTAAACTGGATGAGTGGCAATGAACAAATTGATAATTTCATCCAAGAAATGCTATTGGAAACCAATTATTCCGATATATCATTTGAATGGATACCATATAATCAGCTCTATGCAATTAAAGAAACGGGAAAAAATGATTTAATGACGCTATATTCAGCAATATGGAAAGATGGTCCATTGCATTATAATTCTAAAAATGAAAGAAATTCAAACAAAGAAGTTGTTTTAAAATGCTTGCATGACTCACATAATTTAATTGAATCTCTACTAATAAATGAGGTATGGTATTTCTATATATATATAACTTAGTGTTTCTTATTGTAATGTATTTATTTTATTATTTAATCTTCTAGGTTAAAAAGTATTTAGTGAAAAAATTTTGTTATAAGTCTCTTAAGTTATATGGGATATCTCAAAATTCGGATACAAATGATTATATTTTGATTTTTAACTGGACAAGTGGAAATGATAAAATTGATAATTTGATCCAAGAAATGCAATTGAAACCCAATCATTCTGATATAGTATTTGAATGGATACCATATAATCAGCTTTATGACATTAAAGAAACAGGAAAAGATAGCTTTATGACAGTATATTCAGCAATATGGAAAGATGGTCCATTATATTATAATTATAGAAATAAAGACCATTATATAAGAAATTCAAACATAAAAGTTGCCTTAAAATGTTTGCATAACTCATATAATCCAATTGATTCCCTAATAAATGAGGTATAGTATTTTATTTGTATCCGAATGTTCCTTATCAAAATATTCATTTTATTAATGATTTAGGTTAAAACATATTCAGTAAAAATATTTGGTTATAATAAGTTTATTGAAGTATATGGAATATCTCAAAATCCAAGCACAAATAATTATATTTTGGTTCAAAATAACTTCATAAATCTTGTAAATTGTATGAGTGGGAATGAAAAAATTGATGATTTAATTCAAACAATACAATTGAAATCAAATAATTCTGATATAATATTTGAATGGATACCATATGATCAGTTTTATGAAGTTAAAGAAAATGGCAAAAATGATTTAATGACAATAATTTCAGCAATATGGAAAGATGGTCCATTTCATTATGATTATAAAAATGATTATTATACAAGAAGTTCAAATGAAAAGGTTGCTTTAAAATGCATGCATAGCTTGCAAAGTCCAATTGAATGCCTAATAAATGAGGTATAATATTTCTATATATATTTTAATTTTCTTATTGTAAAATTTATTTTATTTATTAATATTTTAGGTTAAAAAATACTCAGCAAAAATATTTGGTTATGAATTTATTAAAATATATGGAATATCCCAGAATCCAGATACAAATGATTATGTTTTAGTTCAAAATAATTTCATAAACCTTGTAAATTGGATGAGTGGTAATGAAAAAATTGATAATTTCATTCAAGAATTGCAATTAGAAACCAATAATAACTTTGATATGATAGTATTTGAATGGATACCATATAATCGGATTTATAAAATTGAAGAAACAGGTAGAAATGATTTTATGACAGTATATTCAGCAATATGGAAAGAGGGCCCACTATGTAGGAATTTGCGGAGCAGTAAATGTACAAGAAATTCAAATAAAAAAGTTGCTTTAAAATGCTTGCATAACTCACATAATTAAATTGAATCTCTAATAAATGAGGTATAGTATTTTGTATATATTTTAATGCTTCTTATTGTAATTTATTTATTTTTATTTATTTAATTTTTTAGGTTAAAAAGTATTCAGTAAAAAAATTTGGTTGTGAGTTTCTTAAGTTATATGGAATAACTCAGAATTCAGACACAAATGATTATATTTTGGTTTTTAACTGGACAAGTGGAAATGATAAAATTGATAGTTTCATCCAAGAAATGCAATCAAAATTCAATTATTCTGATGTATTTGAATGGATACCATATAACCAGCTTTATGAAATTAAAGAAACGGGAAAAAATGATTTTATGACAGTATATTCAGCAATATGGAAAGATGGCCCATTACATTATAGTTTTAGAAATAATGACTATTATATAAGAAATTCAAATGAAGAAGTCGCCTTAAAATGTTTACATAACTCACATAATCCGATTGAATCTCTAATAAATGAGGTATAGCATTTTATATATAACTTAATGTAAGTTTCTTATTGTAATTTATTTTATTTTATTTATTAAACTTTTAGGTTAAAAGGTATTTATTAAAAAAAATTGGTTATGAATTTATTAAAATATATGGAATATCTCAGAATCCAGATACAAATGATTATATTTTAGTTCAAAATAATACAATAAACCTTATAGATTGGACAAGTGGAAATGAAAAAATTGATGATTTCATTAAAGAAATGCAATTTAAAACCAATAATCCTGACATAGTAATTAAATGGATATCATATAGTCAGTTTGATGAAATTAAGGAAATAGGTAAAGGTGGTTTTGCTACAATATATTCTGCAATATTGAATGATTTCAAAGTTGCTTTAAAATGCTTGGACAACTCACAAAATCTCATTGATGAATTACTAAATGAGGTAAGAATAATTACACAAATTTTCAATTATTTTTCAATATATTTTATTTATGTATGGATGTTTTATAGGTTAAGGCATATAAAGTAGTACTTAACAATAGTAGATTAAGTAGAATTCTGAAAGTATACGGAATATCTCAGGATCCAGATACAAGAAATTATATTATTGTTCTTTATTATGCAGAGGGTGGAAATTTTAATAATTGGATAAATATAAATGAAAATTATAAATGCTTTAATTGGCAAAATAAAATACGAATATTATATAGTATTTCAAATGGTCTTAAAGAAATTCATGAAAAACAGATGGTTCATCGCGATTTTCATACAGGAAATATATTATTTAATACTCCTTTTAGAGAAGAATATGCTAATAGGATTTATATTTCAGACATGGGATTATGTGGAAATGTTAATGATATCAATCGAAATAATAAAAATAATATTTATGGAGTTATGCCTTATATTGCTCCTGAAGTATTAAGAGGAAAACCTTATACTCAAGCAGCAGATATCTATAGTTTGGGTATGATAATGCATTTTGTAGCAACTGGAAGTCAACCTTTTGGCAATCGTGCACATGATCATAATTTAGTATTAGATATTTATAATGAAATTAGGCCTGAAATAAACGAGCCAGAAGCACCAAAAAGTTACATTGACTTAATGAAAAAGTGCTGGGATTCAAATCCAGAAAATAGACCCAATATAACTGAATTTATAGAGTCACTTCGCTATATTAGTGTATCTGAAATTGAAGAAGCAGAAAATTATAGAAATTTACATCTCTCTACTTTAAAAGGAGATAGAAAGATAACTACTCATTCTCAAGCTGTTTATACATCTCGATTACTTAATCCTTTTACGGAATGTTTAGATTGTGCAATTACTGATTAATCAAATTAGATAAAAAAGAAAGAGGTAAAATTTACTTTGTTATTTTTGAACATTTATAGAATCTCATTTATAATGAAATATAATTTTCGTTCGACTTTTTTAGATATTATAAGTAGTAAACGTAAATTTTTATTTTAAACGAGAGCTCACTAATTCTAAATCTCTATTTTGTTTTTTTATAAGTAAATAAATGCTTTTAAAACCCTGTATTGTATCCAAATTTTGTATTGTTACCTTTTTGTATATTGTTCGGGTAACGTAACTAATTAATATGCAAATTACAGAAATAAAATTATTAATGAATAACATAGTAAAACTCTGAGAATATCATCTATAGTATATCTATAATCATCTTCGGGCCTTAATATTTTTACTACTTTTCATTACTTAAAATTATTATTGCGGATTACAATTAATAATAACAAAAATTATTTTTGTTATTTTTCCTTTTTAGTTCAGTCACTGATTAAAATAATCAAAATAATCATAATAAACTTATTTTTTAGTCAATTATAGAATTCATCAAATCCTATAATACCGCAATAAATAATATTTCCCTGTTAAAAAACAAATCAAATTAAAGAGATGATGCGAATGAAATAATAAGTAATACTTTTTAGGATGCTATTTTGAACGAACGGCTTTTAGAATATACGACAATAATAATCATGCTATTTAAAAAATGGCCACTTCATACAACTTATAATTATCTAATACTTTTAATTCAAAGTCTGTTAATAAATATATGTTTTATTAAAAAATTGATGTTAGAACGATTTAATGTGTAATATCATAATAATATTTAATGGACATAATTTTATCACTTTTAGGAAGAATTAGAGAGAAGATGGCAATTGGGGAATATGGTTAACATTTTTATTTGTTAAATAAATGATTTAATTGAAGATAATTTATTTTCGTTTGATTCATTTACCAAGTCATGAGAAAACAATGGATGCCCGATTAAATTCGTTACTTACTATATTTTATCGACGTGCTAGTTAGGAACTCAGTTTATCTTTTTTTATTTTGTAATTTGTTTTATTGGCATAAATTGCTGCGTGTTTAAATTAATAAAATTGATGATTTGATGATCAACCAAGCAGAATTAATACGTATAAGTCGTATAACATATAAACCAATCCAAGCTAAAAGAAAAAGATCAATATAAAAATGAACTTTTAGATTCTAGTAACATTTAAAATCGAAAATGATACAACTTCAGTTGAAAAGTCAAGTTTCTTGTTTATAATAGTCACGTGATTATTATTATTATTTTTCGGAAAAAATTGTCTTTTAATCTTTTAATTAAAGTCTATTTAAAGATAACTTTTTATTCATGTATAAACAAAAGCATTCCACAACAAATAAACATCTGTTGGCTAAACTTTGCCACGTCAGTGGTAAAATTTATAGCCGATCACCTATTACTTTATTAATCTATGTGACAATGTGACATGTGATATTGCCCACGTACTACTATAATATTTATAATATTTGTAGCAAAGGACTATTTATTGTACGGAACTAGATAAATTTGTAGTACCGGTTTAACCCATTCATTTTTCCTTCCTTTCACCTACGTCACTATAATTTAGCCCCTGCTTATTTCCTTTTATGTTTTGTAGTAACGCATTATTTTTAGCAACAAATTTTGTCACATTTTTGTACCATTTATATATATATACAGTATATATAAATTATTGTTACTATTAAGCGTTTAAGCGACGGACTCTCCGTTTTCCTATTAAATAATAAATAATGTACAGTATATAGTTTATACATATACTGTATCTGACGCTATATAGTATAAATAAATTTTATTAGAAAAAATTTAATTATTATTTTTTTTTAAATTTAATAATGTGACTGTAAACTCAGCTAATGACTTGGAACATAGTTAAATAATATATATACATTTTTGTTATATATTGTCCAAATTTGTACAACAAAAAAAAAAATAGTATTTGAGATACTCATTTTTTTTCGTAGCACACAATGCCACACATTTCTTTCGCATAATTTTTTTACTGATAAATTAATTTTCTTTACTATTTTTTCGGAGTACCTATATCAGTTTCAGATCAAATAGCTTATGAATCAATTGATTGACAAATATGACTCATAAGAATTTTCTATCTACTCAACCATTATTTTTTTTAATATAGCGTGACTATCAAAAAATGTTACAATCATCCTCAACCTATTGAAACCATTAAATATTTACCATTACTTACCATGTTATTTTATCATTCTTCTCATATTCTCACAAACATAATTGTCCTAATTTTTATTTCATTGAAATTCATAATTAATCAAGAGAAATTTAGCAAATTTTGCAGTAATATGTCAAAAAGGTTATTTGGTACAATTAAAAAAAATAATATTTTATTAGCTTTTTAATAAAAATGAATAATGAATTATTACAAATAGAGGATAAACGTTTTTAATTAATATATTTCACAAACTAGTATTGATTCTAGGAATATAGTAAAATTATTATAATTTAATTTACAATTTTTTTTTTTTAATAGTAAAAGTATAAATACTATAGCGAATAACTTTCGACAATTATTAAGGTGTTATTACGTCGTTCTAATGTACTGTTTGAAATTAATGACGAAAACACTTTCTCTAAATATTTCTATAATTTTTATTTGATTGGATAAGTAAATTTGAAAAGATAATCTTATTAAGATAGAGAACTGATTTACAGATAGATAATAGCATAAATAAAACTGATTTGTAAATTTCCATCCTCCATCTTCGCAATGAGCGAAGTATTTTCAGAGTGTGATCTGTTTAAATAAAGAACATTTACCTAAGTACGTCAAATTTAGAGATTACTTATGAATTTTAGGGATAAAAACATATAGTATCTTAGAATTGGATTATGCTGAAATAAACGAATATACCGTATTCCCCAAAATTAAGCACTGCCTTTTTACACATAATTCCAAAAATATTTATAATCTTAATTTCGGAAGAATATGGAAATAATATAATATAATATAATATAATATTTATTTACCACGTTTCCTAGTTAAAATTTGTGATTTTTTTTCTTGATATTCTCACGGGTGGTGTTTATTTAAAAGATAGGTAAAAAGTCTGAATAAAGTTTATCATTATTAGGGCTTTATGGTATGAGATAAATCAGTTATTTCAGGAATAACGGCTGCGCCGTGAAAATCATTGATATTCCACAGTTCCCCGTTATTACATATTGTTTATATCAAAAATTACTGTCATATATTAATAATGGTTTTATTTAATATACTGTATATGAAACACTATCCATCTACAATAAAAGTTTCGATTTCCTCAATGTTATAAACTGAATCAGTATGTCAGCATTAAAATTTTTTTCATAATTTTTACTACGATTGTTAATATATAAACGATTACCGATCAAACACAATATATTGAACCAAATTTAAATCCAATATAATATGACATGAGTTTCTTTTATTACTCAGCTTATTTTCTTATTTTGAATATCTTCATTATGATCATATGAGAAAATAAAATTATCTGATGAATAATACTGTATAATCAAAACTCATATTCAAAGATATAATCACCCCCTAATGAACGAAACCCGATAGAACTGTATCAACCAAAAAATTTTATGTGTATTTTCAACTTTAATCATGACTAAACTTGCGACCATTACACTTATTCCTAAATGATAAACTACTAATTTCATCACGACTATCACGATAAATAGGTTCAAACTTATATAATGGATTACGAGACAGCAACAAATAAACATCATAATATTAAATCCTCGCATTTTCTATTTACGGTAAAGACTTCAATTTCCTCAATGGTATAAACTGTCGCAGTTTTTAACTTATTTTCATAACTTTGGCTACTATTATTAGCATATAAACCATTACCGCTCATAACCAATGAACCCCAACCAAAACTAAATGCATTTTCTTTATGAACCATTATGGCTTGAGTTTCTTTTACTACCCGACTTATTTTCATATTTTGAGTATCATCGCCATCTTCAAATGAGAAAATAAAATTATTTGATGAATTGTAAAATCGATAACCATACTCAACAATATAACCACATCCTAATGAACTGAATCCGATAGAACTGTATCCACCAAAAATCTTATTTGTATTTTTAACTTTGATTAAGACTAAACTTTCTACTCGTCCATTACATCTTATTCTAAATGATCTATTATTAATTCCGTCACGACTACCACGATAAATAATATTAAGCTTATAAAATGGGCCATTTCTATTATTAATATACATGGCATCTTTATTATTAATCCAATTAATTATTATTTTTGCAAGTTTTTGGTTGATAATATTTGATTTGAATATTAAACCAATTCTAGGAGGTAACATTGTAGTTATTGGTAAGGCGTCTTTATGAAATTCTTCAATTTCTTCATAAATATTATCAGTAATAATATTTCTATAAGGACGGACTTTATCAAAAAAATCGGCGTGAGAAATTCCTGCAAATCGAATGAGAGGAATAAATTGATTTAAAGTATTTTTCAACGCTTCGTAATCTTCATAATTCCAGTTCTCTCTATCACAATTCTCATTTCCAAGACCTGGAGTTTGTTCAATACCCCATTTAATTAAATAATCCCAAATGATAATTTCTTCAATCTGTAAGTCGTCTCTTTTAAGTACGCCAAGAAGTATTTGTTTATTTATTGAGGGAAAAGATTTTGAAGAAAAAAATGGTAGTAGATCTTCACGGATAGATTCAAGACAATAATCTTGTAATCTTTTGCAATTATCGAGTCTAAACACGGTATTAAGAACAAATATGAAATTTTCCCGTACCCAATTTGTTTGTTTTTCAATTAAATAATCTTGAACATGTTCAAATAATTCTTCAAGTAGTAGTTCATCGGATGCAACTAGTAGATCAAGAATATTCTCACCCGATTGTTCAGTTAAATCAAGTTCACCAGTATAAATGTATCTAATAAAAAGTTATATATATAATTTCGAATAAATTAATAATTTGAAATTTTGTAAAAAAAAAAAAAATTAAATGATTCTCACCTCAAAACCATATCAAAAATAGTTGGTGTTAAATTCGGTTTACTAAATATAATCATATTATCTTTTTTTGTAATCCAATTAGAGGAAAGGGCACTTTTAAAATAAAGTGAACGAGCACGTAAGATAACTGAATGTGCACGAAATTCTTTTATATTTTGATTTTCACCAACTTGAATAATAACATTATAATCATCTGCATCATCTAATATTAAGGAAAGGTCTTTTGAAAGACCATGATGAAAAGTTAAAGCCATATATATTTTTTTTTTTAAAAAAAAAAAAAAAATTAAAAAAAAATTCTTCACACATTTAGGTTCAATTAAATATGGAAATCATTATGCTTAAAAATTTTGTAACATTACACCAAATTATTTCATATTTCTATATTAAGTTAGTTTATAATGAACCAAAGTAATGCGATGATCCGTTCTGTATTACGTAATTCTGGCCCTAGAACTAATAGTAAATGAGTGCCCTTGTTATATTGCCGCAACCGGTGTAACATAGTGATATATAGTGTCACCCATACCACCTCGGAAAGGAGTAATGTCTAACCGTCACCGTTCACGTGACTTCCACGTTCGCCGAGGTTGGTTTGGTAAATGATCCCTTACACTTATCAATTGATAATCCGCATAACGTCAAGAATTGAAGTTCCTTTAATTTTTCTTACTGTTTGTATTTTTTTTAACAATCCATTATTTTTTCTTGCCATCAAGCATTTCTTTATTAAATATTATGCCAAATAACATGGCAAATACTGTACAACAAATAGTACAAATACGTATATTTGCTTTTATCAATACTACATATATGATATATTATTTAAATGTGTATAATACATTGAGATATATTTTTTTTTGCACGAAAATGTGATAATTTATAGATAAAATTCGATATTTGTGTGGCGAGCATATTTTTTATATAACATTCTCTGAATTAATAATATTTATTGATAATAGTACTATTAATGAAATGTATACTTTACTCTACGAATAAAAAAATATATAAGTACTAATTAAAAACAATATTAATAAAGTAGTTGAATTTTTCTAAAACATTTTACACCCACAAAATTTAATCTAAATTATTCAAAATTAATTACATTTTAATAACATTTAGGATTAAACCAACTATTCATTTCAGAAATTAAACTTTTTTATTTCTAGTAAAAAGCATTGCCACTTACGTATTTTCATACAATTACTAATTCCCTAAAAGTATAGTGAAAAAAATGTTTCATTATTTACAACGTCTCCTCCTTTTAAACAAAATAGTCGCCCTTAGAAATAGAATAAATATACAGTATGTGAATAGTATTAAAAAATAGAAAAACCAAAACTTGTATTAAATTTTCATATAAGTCTTACGTCATAATTACAACTGTCCAGTCCCTGTGGCCAAGGCACCATGAAAGTATTTTAGGTTGAGTCTTCCCATAAAAGATAGTTCTGTTATCCTGAGAGAAAAACATTTTTACAAAAATCTCTATATAGACTAAATAGAGAACATACTGTAGATGAAGAAAAATGTATTCACAGCAACAGACTGGATGTCACAATCAGAAAAGTTAGAATTTGAAAGTTTACCAAGGATACATCCTCAGATGCTGAAGTCGAATCCCAGCGACTGTAATATGATTTACTACAAAGAGTGCAAACGCTTGAATTAAACCAAAAACAAGTAGGAGATGGAATTATTTATAAAGTGGATGTAGTATAACGAGATGATAAAAATGTTTTCAACCTATTTTTACGTCCAAACGACTATACTACGTCAGAAGATAACATAATACTAAAGACAATCCAACATGTACAACAAGTTCAAAAACCTTTATACTCCTTCATCTCCAAATAACGAAAGGAAAAACAACGTCAGAAAAACCAATGGTATCATGAAAAATAAGTGTCTTAGAAAACTTTACGAACGCAATTACAATGAAATTATTAATTCAACCAGTGATATGGACAGTTTCCAATGATGCTTGGCCTCCATACAACGTAGGAGGTCTTTGCGTGATTCAAAGTGAACTATCAACATTTTTTTCACTTTATCTAACAAGGTTTTAAAAGATTTTTCTTCAATGTCATACTCAAATAATCTTGAAAGGATTGGGTTTCATGATAACTAAACATAATCGGATTGTTATCATAATCATCCAGAATGGGAAATTTTACTTGAAACCGTTCACATATCTTACAATCTTTTAAGTCTTAACTTCCAATGTTCAGGGAACCAACGGACAAATGTATCACCAAAGTGACCCAACATTTGTCATAACAAAGTTCGAGCCAATGATAGGTTTTAATACCATCTTGGTCCAAACGAACTGATATTGTGTTGCGTTTTAAACGACGTTATTGTTCATAGTTAATTTGGTGATCTTGCCCTTTTTAGTTTGTATCTCCATTGGTATTACGGCCTTTGGATCTGGAGTACCAATGGGCTGTGAAGTAGATTGCAAATTTTGATTAACATGGGAATTGCCTTCCTGATTTGGTTGAACTATGGTAATATCCAGATCATCAATGCTATCTATATTCATAGATTTGTCTCCGTAGAAACATGCACTTTTGAATTATTATACTTCTTCTGCTGTTTCTTCAGCTGCGTCTTAGCAGCCTTTTGGATGAGAGAAGGTAAAGCGTTCTGGTACTGAGAGCTCGGACTATCCAGATGCTGATGAGCTTTACAGCGAGCTGATCAATATAATTGGTATATACCGCCGTGTTATATACCGGTATATGCCCTGCGATATATATAACATGTTATCTACCCATGTGGCATTTCTTACGCCACGCAGCCGTCTTCAAAGGTCAAAAATTACTCAGACTTTTTCATATGCCCACCTCCTTACTTCATAACAAAATTTGCAAAGAGTACTATTGTACTGGTGCTTGATACTCTCAAAAGAGATGTGAAAGTGAAAAAAAAAGACAAGTAAATATTAGTTTCAACTCTTTTATAGCTAATGATCGACAAGTTAAGTTGTTATTTTTATAATTTAGTGATGCCATCAAACTTTTCGGACGCTCTACCGGTTCTTTCTGCCTAATTAAATCTGGCTGAAAATTGGTATCTGCATTTTGCATAGATAATATTACACAAATATCTATATAGTATATATACTCGAATAAAGGCGTTTAATTGTATTTACCCTATTTTTTAGGAAGAATTCCAATAAAATTATTTAGTAATGGCTCAAAGTAACGATGAAGGTAAAAGCATATAATATGAATATAGATATCTAATACAAATTGAAATTGCTCTAAAATTTTTTTCAAACCAAATTTGCAACATAATGAAACTAGTTTCAAAAATTGATAAGGATAAAGGTAAGAAAATTATGTAACAATTTGTATATTTCTATTATTTTATATAATTAAATAATTTATTTTATTATTATAGTTGGTGAGTTAATAGCTATTTTTTTTTATTGAATTTTACATGATATTTTAAATAACTAAATTTTCTATTAATATAATTGTTTAATAATTACGGTACTAATATCATAGAAAGTAAGTATTTAATTTTATATTAATTTATAAGTATTTATAAATAATTTAAACTAATAATAATGTTTATTTAAATAATTAGATTGTAAGTTACTGTATATACTTAATTTTTATATACAATTATAATATTTTATCTAATTGATTATAATTACTTTACTTTATAATTATTATTAATTAATAATGCTACAGGGTGTAAGTTATTTATTTAATTCTATTATATTTACATAATATTTACATATAATTTAAACTAACTAAATTC